TTGCCAAGCTTTGCCAAGCACCTCCAGCTCAGTGATGAGATCACGCTGTGCCCGTCACAACAAACCCAGTGCCTGACTTCCAGGAATCAGGACATCTTTTGTTGTTTTCTGTTTGTTGGGTTATAATCATTTCCTAACCAATAAGATCATCTGCATTTCTTTTCCCTTTATGAGACTGATGCTCTGATAAGGCTTCTTCTTCGTTTCCCTTTATTTTTAGTTTTTTATTTTATTGTGGTACTCACATTTGAACTTAGGGCCTTATGATTGATAGTTAGGCACTCTGCCATTTGAGCCATTTACACCCAGTCAGTCCTTTTTTGCTTTATTTTTCAGGTAAAATCTTGGGTTTTGCCACGGCCAGCCTCAGACTGCAATCTTCCTATCTAGGGCCTTCAGCATTGCTAGGACCACAGGCATCTACATTTGGCTTATTAAGATTGGGTCTCACTAATTTTTACCCAGATTGACCTTGAATCACAGTACTCCTGATCTCATGCTCCTGAGCAGATATGATTAGAGGCATGTCATTTAACTAAATGGCTTCTTAAATTTAATCATTTAGCCAAGCATAAGTGGCTCATACCTGTAATCCTAGCTACCCAGGAGGCTGAGATCTGAAAATAGTGGTTCCACACTAGCCTGGACAGGAAAATAAGTAAGACTCTTATCTCCAATTAACCACCAAAAAAAAAAAAAAAGCTAGACACGGACATGTATCTCAAGTGGTAGAGTACTAGCCTTATGCAAAGTAACTCAAGGAGGGGGAAGGTGGCTCAGTGGTAGAGCGCTTGCCTTGCATGCCTGAGGCCCTGGGTTCAGTTCCTCAGCACCACATAAGCAAAATGAAAAAAGCCGGAAGTGGCGCTGTGGCTCAAGTGGTAGAGCGCTAGCCTTGAGCTGAAGAGCTGAGGGACAGCGCCCAGGCCCAGAGTTCAGGCCCCACGACCGGACCCAAAAAAAAAAGTAGCTCAAGGACAGTTGAGTTCAAGTCCCAGGACTAGCATACACACAAAAAATAATTTATGTGGGCAAATATCAGGCTATAATATTGGACAATCTTATTACTTAATAGCCACAATTCATTTAGTGGCTAGTACTTAATCCTTCAAAGTTTTGCAATGACCATTCCCACAATAACCACTGTTTTTCTTTTTCCCAGTACTTGGGGTTTGATCTCAGAGTTTCATGTTTGCTAGGTAGGCACATGCCTCTAGCCCTACCTTTTAATTGTCAATTCTCTAGACAGACTTTTCTACATGGAACCTAATGTGCTTCAAGGAAATGGTTTAAACAGTGGTAGGTCAAATAGGATGTTACTTCACATCACAGACAGGACCCAAAACATAATCATTCTGCTTCTCATATACTCTAATAGAAATATTAAACCATTTAACTTATATATCAATTACCACATTGTTTAAAAGTTAAAAATCTAGTCAATGTTACTTCTAGGACCATATCTTAGGGCTATGTATTTAAAAACCCATGAAGGCCAGGTGCTGCTGGCTCCTAGCTACTCAGGAGGCTAAGATCTGAGGATCGCGGTTCAAAGCCAGCCTAGGCAGGAAAATCTGTGAGACTCTTATCTCCAATAAGCCACCAGAAAACCGGAAGTGGTGCAGTGGTTCAAGTGGTAGAGCGCTTGCCTTTAGCTGAAGAGCTGAGGGACAGCATTCAGGCCCAAAGTTCAAGCCCCACAACCAACAATAACAACAACAAAAAAAGAAAACCCAAACAACAACAACAACAAAAAACACCATTAAGATGCATGTTCAAATATGCTTAACCAAAACAATATACAAAGAACGATCATTTTAAAAAATGATGTATAACTATAAATTCTAATATAAAAAGATATGCAAGATAACACTAACTACAAACATCAAATTGCAATCCAGGTGCCAGGGGCTCATGCATATAATCCTAGCTACCCAGGAGGCTGAGATCTGAGAATCATGGTTCAAAGCCAGCCCAAGCAGGAAAGTCCACAAGACTATAGTCTTCAACTGATCACCAAAGAAGTCAGAAGTGAAGCTATGGCTCCAGTGGCAGAACACTACTTTAAGCAAAAGAAGCTTAGAGACAGCACCCAGGACCAGCACACGCACACACACACACAAAAGGGGAAAAAATAATAACCTTCTTTATAGTTTGAATTTATAAGTTTGTATATTACTTTCTTAATGAAAAAGCAAGTTTAAAATTGTCATTTGGCTGAAAGGATCAATACTAAACATGCAATTCTGTAAAGCAAAGTGAATGTTTTATCACTGTACCAATTCTTAACAATTCTATAACATTAGCCCAAAAATGCTCAGCGAAGATCTAGAGAAAGCCTAAGATATTTATGGCTGGGAGCATAGCTTAAATGGTAGAGCACTTGCCTACCATACACAAGGTCCTGGTTCAATACCAAGTACAGACAGAAAAATAGATAGATAACATAGATACCCTTATATGTATGTGTGTGTGCATATGTATATATTGGTATGTATGCTAAGATAGTTTCTGGAAATTTAAAGTTCTGTAATCACAATGCTATATAAACTCATTTCTATAAATGTGAAGACTATTTTTAGGAACATTTTAATATATAATTTCATTATTTTTGCTTATGTGGTAATAAGGAAACGAATCCAGAGTCTCATGCATGCTAGGCAAGCACTCTACACCAAGACACATTCCTAGCCCCAACTACTTTTTTTTTTTTTGGTCAGTTGTAGAGCCTGAACTGAGGGACTAGGTGCTGTCCCTAAGCAATTTTGCTCAAGGTTAGTGCTCTACCACTTTGAGCCACAGTACCACTTCCAGTTTTCTAGTGGTTACTTGGAGATAAGAGTCTCATAGACTTCTGTCTGAGCTAAATTTGAACTGCGATCCTCAGATCTCAGCCTCCTGAATGGCTAGGATGACAAGCATGAGCCTGGCTGAAGACTTTTGTCTAGGAGAAAATTAGAAAGTGTAACTTATAGTCAATAGAATTCTATACAACACTTTCAGTACATAAGAATCACTGACTCAACAATTTGGAAGAGACCTTAAAAGTTACCTGATTTAACCTTTCTAATCTGCCATTTAGCTGGAATGAGTGGGGAAAACCGTATCTAATAGCAGCCTGCTAATGAGAGGCAGGCCCATTCCACCTAAGCTAAGCAGCAGTTCCAGGAACATAATACAACTAGAAATGACTCTTCAAAATGAGGGCACCCAGTAATCACCCACTAAATAAGCATTGAGGTCTAACATGTCAAGTTCCCTGAGTTAATTTTAAATAAGCTATTGACTAAATTTTCTGGTTCCAAGGTTTCCAACTGTTTCAAACCAAAAGAAATTAGACCATGTTGCAGGTTGATTTTAATGAACAAAAATCTTCATGTAAAAAACATTTAAACTTTATCAAATGTTTTAAAAAACATACACACACAAATCCAAATCCAATACAGACAGAATTGTTTAACATCATTTTTGTTCACCTAAGCACATCTGTAAAGAGATTTTTGGATAAAACTTTGCATGTTGATAAAGAAGATCAGTGAGGCTCCACATTTGTTTACACACCCCCACACACAATCTTTTATAAGGAATTACTAATATATGGTTAAAAGTATGAAGGGAGAGGAATGAATCCCTTATAAGGCTTACATAAAAGAACACTATATAAGTAAAAGAACTTCCTATTCCAAGTGAAAATGCAGAGAAGAAAGGATAGTTTCCAAACTCAGTTATAAATAAATAATTTATGAATGTCACTCAAGAACAATGAATTTGGGAGTTATATGTAATTCCAAGTTTTTGTCATCTCAAATTTTGTGATTTTGATAAGTGATAACCAGGCGCTGGTAGCTCACACCTATAATCCTAGCTACTCAGGAGGCTGAGATTTGAGAATTATAGTACAAAGCCAGCCCAGGCAGGAAAGTTCATGAAACTGTTAACTCCAATTAACCAGCAAAAAATTGGCAGTGGAGTTGTGGCTCAATTGGTAGATTGATAGCTTTGAGCAAAAAAGCTATGGGACAGTGACTGGGACTGTAGATTAAGCCCCAGGAGTACACACGTGTATACACACACACACACACACACACACACACACACACACACGATTTTGCAGGTCTTTTGATTATCATTATTTAAGTGTGGTTTGTCTCTTTCAATTCCTCAGTCCAGTTCCCCTAAAAAGCCACAATATTAAACGATGGTGAGCACAGGCTAAAAAGAGTAGCGTGGAGTCAGGCACCGGTGGCTCACACCTGTAATCCTAGCTACTCAGGAGGCTGAGATCTAAGGATCATGGTTCAAAGCCAGCGGGGCAGGAAAGTTCATGAGACTCTTATCTCCAACTAACCACCAAAAAACTGGAAGTGGTGCTGTGGCTCAAGTGGTACAGCACTCACCTTGAGCTGAAGAGTGCAGGGACAGCGCCCAAGCCCAGAGTTCAAGCCCCATGACTGACAAAAGAAAAAAGAAAAAAAAAATAGAGTGGTGATATTGGAATAATAAGGGCCAGAAAGCCTGGGTTTAGATCTCCACATCACTACTTGTGAGCTATTAGCTAAGCTACCGCCACCATGTCTTTCTCATCATTGTTAGGGATCACCAGTGTCTCCTCCATATAGTTTTTTTTGTTGTTGTTTTTCTTTTAAAAAAAAAAAGATTAAAAGATAAACCATTTAGAGAATGTATTACACATCCCGGCTCAATTAATGTTAGGTCAAATTACTATTAGTTGTAGCATTACAGCTAAACTAAAAGAAAAGTCAATATATATATTTCACTGTTGATAAAGTTGTCGGAGACCAAATGTGGCAGAGAGAAAAAGAGAGATGACAATATGTTCAATGTAAAAGATATTGAAGACCTAGTCTTATGAACATAGATATTTACTTAGTAGCCTACTTAGTAGCCTACTTAGTAGGCTGAGAACTGAGAATCATGGTTCAAAGCCAGCTCAGGCATAAAAGTCCATGAGACTATTATCTCCAATCTCCAATCTCGAGCAAAAAAGATAAGGGACAGTGTCTAGGCCCTGAGTTCAAGCCCCAGTATGGGTTAAAGAAAACAAAAATTACATGGCTCCATATCACGAATTCAACATCTTTCCATCAAACGTCACAATTCTCATCATCACTATTCCCTACATACACCTTAAATAATGTTCCTACTGACTCAACAGCAGGGGCCAGAACTGCAACTAAAAACTTGCTAGAGAGTTGCATATTGGGCAGTAATCTGTGCTTAGGCCAACTAGTGCTTAGGCCTTCTGAGAACCTGCCTCCAACGTTTGCATTCCTCCCTCCCTGCCACGGTTAGTTAGATGAGCCAGGTTCCTGAAGACCTTCAATCTCCATATCTCCTTCAAGAGGGGTGGTTTTCAAGAGGGGAAGGTGAAGGAAGCAGCAGACACTGACCGTGGAATGCTCCACACCTACTTCAGTATGATATGATAGCTATCATTGGTTTCTGCTGTAAAAAGAGAGAAAAATACTCTTTAGTCATCTGTAAAACATAATAGGACAAAACCAAAACTATCATAAGGTTCTTGGTGAGAAGGAACAGAGTCAGAACAGGACAAAGGGCAGCATACTTCTGGTTTTCTGGTGGTTTATTGGAGATAAGAGTCTCACAGACTTTGATCCTCAGATCTCAGCCTCCTGACTAGCTAGGATTACAGGCATGAGCCACTGGCACCCTGCTTAAAAACAACATTTTTATTTCTTTATTTGCCAATGGAAGATAGAATGATTATATCATCAAATATACTTTGTCTACTTTGACAATAGCAAAAGCCAAATCATATAAGGAACAATCTCCAATAATGTGACTTTCTCTATTGCACATATGGTTGCTACCCTACTTTTTCCTCTGAAAGAAGTAAAATATGTTGCTGAGATTATAGGTTACACATCTGTAATCACAGCACTCAGGAGGTTGAGGCAGGAGGATTGTGAGTTCAAGGGCATATAAGATATGAAAAGACCATGTTTTGTTTTTGGTGCTATGAGGTGGAACCCAGAGCTGTAGAATGCACTGTATCACTGAGCTATAACTCCAGCCTGAAAGAAGGTTTTAAGCAATTTAGAAAATGATATTTGTCTTATAACTGTTTTATTACCTTTCATTGTGTCCAAAATAAAACAGGCTTCTTCCTGAAAGTTCTGTATCATCTGAAAAAAGCAAGAAAATTTGCTGATTATTTAAACTTTTTAATTTTCTGTATTTGATTATGAGGCTTAAAAAATTATATTAGCTTTAAATAGGAAACAATCCCTTTCTATTTCTGTATTTCTAAGGACAACCTTACATCCACAGGGGTTTATATGAGGGCCTTGATAGGTCACAAATAGAGTACATCATTAATTTCTATTAATCATGTATTTTCCTTCTACTTCTCAAAAGGTTTATCTTAAAATTTAAAAAGTAGAATATGGAGCTAGGCACCAGTGGCTCATGCCTGTAATCCTAGCTACTCAGGAGGCTGAGAACTAAGGATCGCAGTTCAAAGCTAGCCCAGGCAGGAAAGTCCGTGAGACTCCTATCTCCAATAAACCAACAGAAAACCAGAAGTGGCGCTGTGGCTCAAATGGTAGAGTACTCATCTTGAGCTGAAGAGCTCAGGGACAGCGCCCAGGCCCAGAGTTCAAGCCCCATGACCAACAACAACAAAAAAGTAAAATATGGGTTAATGCCATATGCCAATACTTTTAAAATTTCTCTTCCCCATTTTCTCTTCTAAAATTTTCATAACATGTCTTATAAAATAAAAGCATAAGTTTCTCTCTTCTAGAATCTTACCAAGGGGTAAAGAGATAGCTCAGAGGTAGAGAGCTTGCTTAGCATATATATAAGGCCTCAAGTTCACAGTTCAGCACTGTCAAAAGGGGTGCCACACCTCTACCTGAGGTGTGAAAGCCTCAGTACCAAAGTGGAACCACAATGGTGAACTCTAATATCAGAATAACCAACCCTTGTATGAATCACTTGGCTTCCAACTGAAGAATGATCAAATTGTCAAGAGAGAGGACTCAAAATAATTTTGGGGCCAGGGGATGGTGGCTTATGTCTGTAATTCTAGCTACTCAGGAGGCTGAGATCTGAGGGTTGAAGTTCAAAGCTAGTCAGGGCAGGAAAATCTGTGGGACTCTTAACCATCAGAAAATCGGAAGTGGCACTGTGGCTCAAAGTGGTAGAGCACTAACTTTGAGCTAAAGAAGCTCAGAGACAGCTCCTGGGCCCTGAGTTCAAACCTAGAACTGGCACTCTCTCTCTCTCTGTCTCCCTCTCTCTATATATATACACACACACACAAACATACACATATATATCTATACATACACATATATAAGTATACTGTATATATATATATATATATATATATACATAATATGTATGGATAATATATGTATATATGTATAATGATTTCTGGTAATACCACTGTGCAATTCTTAGGATATAGCTCAGAAGTTTAAAAAGAACTCCAGTGATGCAGTTATAACAGAACTCTACCCATTCCTATGAAGTTAGGTCAATTAGGTTCCACAGCACTTAAATCTAGGGGAAAACCAGGATGGAATTGATGTTGAACTCTGTCATTTTTACAATAGGTAGTAGTTGATGACAGACAATTCATCATGTGTTAGGGTATGGAAAGTAAATGAAATAATCAATCTCATTAGCAGATGCAGGTCTATAATTTTTTTTTCTTTTGTAAGTGTTGAAGACTAAACCAAGGGCCTTATGCATGCCAAGCATTTCCTCTACCACTAATCTAACCCTATTGCCTTTTCTTGATGCTTAATAATTACTTAGTAAAACATATTAATGTTTAGTAATTAGTTCTTAAAACATGTAATATACTTGTTATTTTTAATCAGTTGCATAACTATGGTGATACTCTAGTAATAAATAGAATTTCAATTTGGAGGGTTTATATTTTCTTTTAACCTACATCAATTAGTTGTATAACATTTACTTATTTATTTTTCTTTTCAAATTGTTAATTTTTTGTTCCTTTTAAAAAATTTAGCATTAGGGCTGGGAAGGTGGCTCAATGGTAGAGCACTTGCCTTGCATGCCTGAGGCTCTGGGTTTGATTCCTCAGCACCACATAAGCAAAAAAAGAAAAAAACTGGAAGTGGTGCTATGGCTCAAGTGGTAGAGCGCTAGCCTTGAGCTGAAGAGCTGAGGGACAGTGCCCAGGCGCAGAGTTCAGGCCCTAGGACCAGACCCCCCCCCAAAAAAAATTTAGCACTAATTAGTTGTATTAAGGAGTTTTCATTTAACATATTCATTTATATATACAATGCATGTAGAGTTATTTCCTCCATCTTTCTCCCAGTTTTTCAACTTTTGTTTTTGTGGGGAGAGGGGAGGTGCCAGTCCTGGAGCTTGAACTCAGGGTCCGGGCACTGTCCCTCTGTCTATGAGCTTCTTCACTCAAGGCTAGCGTTCTACCACTTGAGCCACAGCTCCATTTCTAGCTTTTTGGTGGTTACTTGGGGATGAGAGTCTTATGGACCTTCTGCCCTGACTGGCTTCAAACCACAGTCCTCAGATCTCAGCTTCCTTGAATAGCCAGGATTATAGGCATAAGCCATTGGCACCTGACACCTGGCTCCACTTTTCAACTCTTACTGAAACAAACTCTTTGGTTGAAACAAATTTTTCTTTCAAAGAAATATGGCAATACCACAGAAGTGGTTAACACCTATAATCTTAGTGACTTAGGAGGTGGAAATTAGGAGGATTGAGGTTAAAGACCAGGCTGCACAAAACGTTTGTGAGACTTCCATCTCAACCAATAATTAGAGGCAGTTGCATGTATGTAGTATCCTAGCTATATGGGAAGTTGAGATCAAGAGAATTACAGTTCCAGATTAGCCTGGGTAAAAAATTTGTTATACCCTCCTGCCCCCTGCCATTTCAGTATGGTAAATGCCTGCCAACCCAGCTACTGTAGGAAGTATAAGTAGGAGGACTGCAGTCCAGAACAGTCCAAGCAAAAAGTGAGACTATATAGTAGAATAATCAACGAAAGCTGTATAAGCATAAAAATGTTGCGTTAGCACAGAAATCTATGAGAGTCAGGAATGTTGATGCATACTTATTTTAGCACTCAGGAGGCTTAGGCAAAAAGATCATGAGTTCAAGGTTAGTCTGGACTACATAATGAGACCTGTGTTAACAAAACAAAAATAGAACAAAACTACTCTGTAAAAGAAGTGAATGAAAATATGAGTTGAGGAAAACAAAGCAATGACACAGAAACTCTTAACTCATAAAAAGCATAATCACGTACTTTTTAAAATGGATGATGTTAAATCATCCATTAAATCATTCTTGTAATTTTGGTCCCAGTACTGGAAAAAAAAAATCACTCTTTTATTTGGGTTACATAGAATGGAATTAGAATAGTGAAAAAACAATCTTGTTTCTAAATGTCACATTTGCCCAGAAATGACGTCTTTAAACTTTTCCCACAAATGAACAATCGTTTACAACTATTAAAACTTAAACAATATGAAATCAACTTAAATATGGGCAAGAGAATATACATAGTTTCTAAAAATTAGTTTAGGAGGTAAGCAAGCAAAAACATCTGAGCTAGGCACAATAGAACATGCATAGCAAGAGCCTATCTCTTAAAAATAAATAAAAATTTAAATAAATAAATATGAATTTTAAAAAGAACTGAAAGTTGGGTTTCAGTGGCTCACACCTTAGCTGCTCAGGAGGCTGAGATCTGAGGACTGTGTTTCCAAGGCATGAAAATCCATGAGATTCATTTCCAATTAACCACCAAAAAGCTGGAAGTGGGGCTGTTATTCAAGTGGTAGAGCACCAGCCTTGCACAAAAAAACTAAGGGATAGCACCCAGGCCTTGAGTTCAAGCCCTAGTACTGGCACACACAAAAAAGTCTGAAACCTCTGGTTTAGAAATAGAGCTGTAGGGGCTGGGAATGTGGCTTAGTGGTAGAGTGTTTGCGTAGCATGTATGAAGCCCTGGGTTCAATTCCTCAGTACCACATACACAGAAAAGCTGGAAGTGATACAAGTGATAGAATGCTAGCCTTGGACAAAAGAAGCTAAGGTACAGTGCCCAGACCCTGATTTCAACACTCAGCACTGGCAAAAAAAGAAAAGAAAAGAAAAGAAAAGGAAGAGAGAGAGAGAGAGAAGAAAGAAAATATAAAGCTCTAGCTATTTTCTCTAGCTAGTGGCTCATGCCTGTGATCCTATCTACTCAGGTGGCTGAGTTCTGAGGACTGCAGTTTGAAGCCAGCACAGGAAGGAGTCTGAGACTCTTACCTCTAATTAACCACCAGAAAAGCCAAAAGTGGGGCTGTGGCTCAAGTGGTAGAACACCAACCTTGAACTTCCAGGCCCTAAGTTCAAGCCCTAATACTGGTACTGGCATGTGTGCACGTACACACACACGCACACACGCACACACACACACCATAATCCTGGTACTGGCGCGTACACACAGACACACACACACCGAGAAGAAGAAAGAAAATAAGCTCTGACCTGATCAAATTGATTATACTCTTGTTATATGTCCTCATAAATTCAATTATCATCTGGTAATCAACTGTACTGAAAAAAAAAATATCTACCTCATCGCTGATAAGCACATGGATTCCTGTTGGTCCCTGTTTGTAAATCTGGCTAATTTGTCGAGGAGAAATGCTGAAAAGCTGAGCAATTTTTTCTGTCAATTCAACAGCTGTCAGTTCTTCTAGATAGATTGCATGATATACTGAAAGGGGGAGAAAACAACCATAGTCAATACAAAAGTTAGTTCTCTGCATTCATAGGTAATCTGACCATTAGGAATGTCCACTTTTCTCTAAGACTCAGATATCATATTGCCGGTGTACAGATCTTAGTTCTTTGGCTATGAGATGTAGGACAAGTTATTTTCTTCATTTAAATGTTGGCAAAAATAACATTTACAACAAAGAGATTATTAGTTATAAAATTTAAAGTGTATAAAAAGTGTTGGGGCCAAGTGCTAGAAGCTCATACCTGTAATCCTAGCTACTCAGGAAGCTAAGATCTAAGAATTTCAGTTCAAAGCCAGCCTAGGCAGGAAAGTCCGTGAGACTCATCTCCAATTAACCACAAGAAAACCAGAAGTGCTGTGGTGATTTGATTAATGCCCATCACGCATACCCATAAGTCTTATTTTCACCTTTCTGTCCTGGTCTGTCCAGAACCACCTACCGAAGAAAGTACCATTTGAGTCTCCATCCTCATGCTTCTGCTGTGGCTGCTGCTGCTGTTGCTGTTGCTGCTGCTGTTGCTGCTGCTCCCGCAACTGCAATGATTCCTGACAGACATATATGGTTAATCTTGGACGTACCATCCTAAGGAGGTAGAAAAGAACTGTTAGTTTTATAGTTTTTATGGTAAGTACATTGTGAGATTGTATGTCTACATTACTAGCCCAGTGGTTGAGAAGTGGCAGTTCATGGAACAAATACAATTCATGTATATATTTTTTGTTTTTTTGTTGGTCATGGAGCTTGAACTCTGGGCCTGGGCACTATCCCTCAGCTCTTCAGCTCAAGGCTAGCGCTCTACCACTTGGGCCACAGTGACACTTCCAGCTTTTTCTGTTTATGTGGTGCTAAGGAATTGAAACCAGGGCCTCATGCATGCAAGGCAAGCACTCTACCACTAAGCCACCTTCCCAGCCCCTCATGTATATGTTTTATTAGCTCCTCAGTGATTGTTTCTGTTCTTGAATGTGAATTAGTTCCAAAAGGAGACATCTGACAAAACTTTGACTTTTCTTAAAAACTCAGTTCTGGCAATCTAGGATCCTCATTCTCACATGAAAACAATCTCTTACGTGTTGTATGTATTCTTCAGCAAAACCTTGGCATTCCTTCATACCTGTGTGGCTCCTGTAGTCATTTCAATATGTGGGTTCTGGTGTAAAGATTAAAAATAAAGTGCAGCCAGGAGCCAATTGCTCAGTCGTCAATAATCCTAACTACTCAGGAAGCTGAGATCTTAGGATCGCAGCTCGAAGCTAGCCCTGACAGGAGAGTCCATGACACTTAGCTATAATTAACCACCACAAAATCAAAAGTGGTGCTGTGGCTCAAAGTAGTATAATACTAGCTTTGAGCAAAAGAGCTCAGGGACAATGCTGAGCCCTGAGTTCAAGCTCTACTTCCAACAACAGGGGGGAAAACCCCTCAAAATGTTTGACTATTTTGTAGATCAGGTTCAAATACATATTTTTTTTTTCTTTAAAAATGCTACTACAGCTGGGCGCCAGTGGCTAATGCTTGTAACCCTAGCTGCTCAGGAGACTGAGCCCAGACAATACTCTTGCCTCAGCTTCAGAAGTACTGGGATTAGAGGTATTCAACTTACTACTGTTTGTTTTGTTTCTTTCAAAGCCCTTATCATTATCCAAAATACTTACTGTTTATATATATCATTCTCCTTATTAGAAAGTAAATGTTGCCAAGGTGTAGTGGTTCCTGGTCTACTTGGGAGGTGAAGATTGGGAGATTGGGAGGATCATGGTTCAAGACTAGTCTGGGCAAAAAAAGTTAGTGAGATTTCCCCCACCATTGCCACCATCTCCCCTGTCTGAAGACAATGAAATGTGGGACTCTACCTGAAAATAACTAAAGCAAGAACAAGGGCTGGAGACATGGCTCAGGTGGTAGAGCACCTGCACAGCAAATTGAGGCCCTGAGTTCAAACTCCAGTACAACCAAAAAAAAAAAAAGGTAAACTCTACATCTTGTCTGTTTGTTTACCAGTTTATTTATAAAACCTACAAAAGTACTTGGCTCATGCTGAAGACAATTAATATTTTCTAGATGAAAAAACAACCTGGAAATGAAAATTGGGATTGCATGGGGAATTCCTTAGATCAAATGTATGAAAGGGTGCTCATTTTGGCAGCACATATACATTTGTCTTTATTTGGTATATGGCTGGCATTTCCAAAAATGTTTTGAGCCATGGTGGTGGCTCACGCCTATAAATCCTAGCTACTCAAGAGGCTGAGATCTGAGGACTGCAGCAGTTCAAAGCCAGCTTGGGCAGGAAAGTATATGAGACTCTAATCTCCACTAAACTACCAAAAAAGCTAGAAGTGAAGATGTGGCTCAAGTGGTAAAGTGCTAGCCTTGAGCAAAAGAGGCTCAAGAATAGTGCCTAGGCCCTGAGTTCAAGCCCCAGGACTAACACACACACACACACAAAATAATTAAAAGAAAAACACAAGTTTTGACTTGGACAGTATGGCTCAAGTGGTATCTGTTTACATAGAAAGCTTGAGGCTCTGGGTTTAAACTCCAGAACTGGAAGGAAAAAAAAA